TCTTCTCACCTGGCTTGCTTTTTTCATGGTATTTGTAGGAATGGCCTTCTCTCTGAAATCTCACTGTCTCCATTAAATTTAATTAAAAAGTGGTTTAGCCTCCATGAAAGTAAAAAAGCAGGAGTTGAGTAACTAGCGTTCGTAGGGGTATGTGCGTGCTGCTCACAGAAATCTTTTTTCCTTAGGAAATAGAACAAGTAATGTTTTGCTGTGCTGTTCTGAATAATTGTGGGTAACTGTAATTTGTATTTACACCAAGAATAAATCAGTTGGGTGAATTTTGTTGATGTTGTTTTACATTTCAGGTTATCATTTGAGAAAATGTGACAGGGACAAGGCATTTGACAGTGGCAGTGTTCTCTGCATGTTGGTTTTAACAGGCTGTGTAGGCTCCAGGTGTCAGAATAGGGGTCATTTGCATCTGATCACTTCCAATACCTGACTGAACACCAGAATTTCATAATTTATTGTCAGAGCAGTTATTTGGAGTCTTTCCTGGTTCACAGTGAAGCCTTGCTTCATACATTTGACAGAACAGATTCCAAATAAAGAAAGGTTGACACAGTAAAAGGCAAATTTTCCAGTACACTTATCTTGAAGTAGAGCATCTGGTCTGTCAATTTTACAGGAAGGGCAATAGAATATAACTAATAGGATTTGTAGCGGAAGTAACAAGCAGAGCTATTGAAATTTTTTATCTGTCTAAATGAACAATTAGTGTTATTTGTGCTGTTCTTAAACTGGATTTTTGTAGTGTTTATTCAAAGAAAGAAAGGAAGAAAGAGAGAAACCAAACAAAATTGTTATTGTGTTTTAAATACCTGTTTCAATAAATTGTAACTTTTCTCCAGTGACCAGCAAAGACATTAAGTTCAAGATGAGTCACTTAGGCTTCAGAATTTAAAATTATGAAGAGAAGCATGCACACAGACCATATGCTTTCCCTTTGTTAATGGATAAACAGAATACCGAGGCACTAATTATTTACAAAATGTTTTGCTAGTTTTGTTTTTCTGTGGTTAACATAACCATGAAGTTTTCTCTCTGCATCCTGAATACCTGGATATTTCATCAGTGGCACTTTAGCACAAAAATATTCCTCTAACAGGCTTTGCTGGAAGCAGTGTTCAAGTTTTGTGTAGGAAGCTGATGTTTGTTGGTTATGGAAATATTTAGGTGTAGAAACTACTTAACTATCTGTCTCTCTCTTCAAAATGGCTTTTATAATGCTACTGCCTAATAGCTGGCTTTGTAGTATGCAACTTCCCAAGACACTGTTTGAATGTCACCTGACAAAAACCAAAGGTTAATTATGTTTGAGGAATAGCAGTGTTTTGCTGTGTGTAAGCTGGAGTGCATGGAGACAAATGACATTATTTGCAAAAAGGTGTGTCAATTCTGTCAGATTTTTGGAGAAGCCTTTTTGGTTGGTTTCTTCCACAACACCATGCTCTGTTATGCAAAATCTAGATACAGCGGGTTTCTTCCTATATTAAAGTTCCTGTGAACCACATGGTTCCAAAAGGCGTGGGAGGCTGGGTGAGGACCTGCCAGAACAGGATGAAGACCTAACTGGGAAAAGAGAAAGTATAGCAGTAACATAATAGCAAGTTTTCTGTTTGGAATGGGACTGGAAAAAGGGACAGGACATCTGCTATTCCTGTCATATCTGCAAATATCTGTAATGGACTCCATCTTCCCTTTAGATGTTTCACTCCTCAGTGTATGTAGATGGGTAAATGTTGATCAGTCCTTTATTTGAAATTGAACTTTGGTTTCACTGTAATATCTGGCATTACACTATTAATAAGAGGTTTTCAGCCTCTTGTGTGTAAATTTGAGTGTTTTCCACTCAAATGGGATGTTAAATTCTTGGAAGTGTGTTTGTGAAGTGTCTCCTTTAATAGCTTTGAGGACTAAGCTGATGAATTTTTTTGTGAGTTACTCATGGCAATCCCTTCATTTTCTGTTCTAATTAGAAGACTTTATCTTTCCTCTTTGTGGAGGTAAATACAACTTGCTGCTTGGATCTTGAGAAACAGGAATGGTCTCAGTTCACTCTTACAGAAAAGTTGGAGATGTTGTAGTCTCTTTGGAAACATAAAATTAGTTCTACATCTCTTTACATGCCTGTTGAGTTTTTGATTACTGACTTCTTTAGGATACTGCAAGACAGGAAATAAATTCCTGCTCTCTGATTCATAGTTGGTTAATAACCTGGAGTAAAGAGACTTCACTCAGAGCTGCTTGATAAAATACCTTGGTATGTATTTTCCCTGAAGGAGGTTCACTCCTGTGCCAACATTGGCTAGAGCCCAGTTTAGATTGCTTAAAATATTCACAATATCCTTCCCTTCTTCCATCGTAAATGTAAGCACTACCTACCTATGGTGGATGACTGACTAATGAAATTGTTGTGAGATCAGGGGAATGGGAGGAAAAGACACTGGGATAAAAAGGACTTGGCTGTGTGCTTCATCCTCAGACCTGCTTTGCAGGGAGTACTTCAGAGTCTTGGGTGTGCTGGAATGAATGGAGATACTCAACTGTTTAAACACTTAGGAAAAAAGAAAGAAGATGGAATCTACTAAAATACCACTGATCAAAGAGGATGGTTACATTGTGGTTTTGTTTATTTTGCAAGAATACAGAGGGAAGCTTTGCCAAAAGGGAGACAGATGAGGTTTGATTTTGCTTTTTCTGCATCATCTCACTGGTGCAGATTATAAGTTTGACTTCATTGCTAAATTGGAATTAAGGTGTGATCACACATTTATGTCACACTGTATGTCTCCTTGTTCTTATAATCCTCATTGTCATTGGCTGTGCAGTTGGATTCTTCCCTTCAAATTCAGCTATTTGCAGTACAGACACTGTCTGGGAAGTTCTCTCCAGACTCTGCTTTTGGTTAAAGGAGAGAATTAGCTGCTTCTGGAAGTGTGATCCATCTGATTACAATGCACTAAAGACACTGGATGAATTGAACATCAGAACAACAGAAGTTCCTATTGCTCTCCATTGACTTTTAAAATAATGTGGAAAAGCAGTTCACATAAGGTTATTTGTGTTGTAAAAGTCTAATGGTAGAGAGGGTCAGTGTGATCTTGAACGTATTACATAAGTATAATACTGGAAGCATATAGTTTGTGTCACAGAACTGTAGTTGGGCATTATGGTGAAGGCAGGCTGATAAAAGAGGTAACCTTGAGAAAACGAAATAGTTTATCACCTACATGGTAAAACAGACAAACAAACAAAAATCCTGTCTGCACACAAACACAGTTATATATAACATAAAAGTTATATATAACTTTTACTTACTAAAACTGTAATTGAAAAAATAGAGATATTCTTGCCTGAATGTGTCTTTTCTAGTTGTATCTTACACTCTTTTTCATTACCAGTAAGAAAAGCATACTGTTAACTGATTCAGAGAACAGATGTCAATTTGAAGACAATATATTTTTGCAAAAGTGTTAAGACATTATCTGTTCAGGTGACAGATGTTGGAAGCACTGGGGTACAAAAATATGTATCTTGACCAACAGTTTTGCTAAACGTAAATTCTCCTGGAAGAACTGTGTCAGAAAGGCTTTTCCATGTTATAGAGTGGAACTGTGATGCTGTGCACTGGCTGAAATTATACAGATCTATCATGCTTTGATGCGTATTCAGTTTTTCCCCTTTAAAAAGCTATTTTATTGAAGTTAAGTTATTGTAGGGATATGAAAAGGTGTAGTTTGCTCTGAATTTATCCTTGGAGGGCCAGCAAATCATTGCTTTTTCTCTGAAATTAGATGGAAGGATCCAGATGGCAGATTTCAAGCCCATCAGGTGTTTAAAATATGCCCCTCAGCTAAAAAGAAGTATTATAGTTAAATCTGTCATGGCCTTTTTATTGCTCTGTGGTACACTTGACAACTGCTGCTGTGAAAGAGAGAAGCTACAAGTAGCCCAGTCGGCCTGAAGTGGAGTAGGTCAGTGGTTGGTTTCTTTAGCTGCCCCAGGGAGTTTAATGAATGCACAGACCTGGTTTATGGAATCGTTAAATCTATCATGATATAAGCTCCCATGAAGGCAGGGAATTTGCCCCCATACTTCCAGATACTATAGGAGGCATTAGAAAAGTAACATAAATGAAACATGCAGGGGAGAAACAAAGAAATCCTCCCTGCCCCCAACAAACAAGAATCCCACATCTCTAAGGAGTCGTCAGTAATAATAACAGCAATAATAAAATGCATCTGGGCTGGTGCCTTGCACTGCATTTCTCAGCTGGCACTCATTCAGATCTGTCACATTAGGCTGAGTGCTGATAATTTGTATCCCAGAATCCTTTTATCTGAACAGAGCAACATCTTCAATGTGTACTTTTGGCAAAGGAGAAACACTGCTTTTCATATCTCTTTAAAAACAATACAGACTTTTCTTTGCATCTTGACAAACTGTTGCTTATTATGACAAAAAGTAACCTGCTTGTGTTCTTGCAGTAACTAAAAGTACTTGCAGTCAAATCAGCTTTCAGCACGGGAGTGATTACTGAGTGTTGCAGAGAAAAGGATATGTTTGGGTTATTTATTTGCATGCATATGCAGATGTTTATGTAGACACTGATTTGGGAAGGCTGATACAGTTTTGGCTTTTTTGCTGCTTCATTTTTCTTTCTTCAATTAAAAAAAAACCCAGCCAAATAAGACAGACACTTTCTTTGTTTATTTTTCAATAAACCATAGAAAGATAGCTTATAACTGGGTGGGTAATGGCAACAGACTTATTTTGTAAGAGCAAAACCTTTATCCAAAAGTTGTATGATCATATGTAAGCATAATAAGTCTCTGATAGCTCTGGTGAATTGTAAGGGTCATTTATGAAAGTGAATGTGCATGGCTGGGGTGAAATGAAGTGCCATTAGTGATGCCCTTTCATCTGAGAATGTCACCCTACAACAAGGTCATCCTGAGATAACTGTGCTTATGTTTGATCTCTTCCTGTGATTTCAGATTCCAGCGAGGCGACTACCACATCGATGTCTGCATCAATGACTACCTGGATGTGTTCTGCCCTCACTATGAAGACTCGGTGCCAGAAGATAAGACCGAACGCTATGTTCTGTACATGGTGAACTTTGATGGCTACAGCTCCTGTGATCATACTTCCAAAGGGTTCAAGAGGTGGGAGTGTAATCGGCCGCATTCCCCAAATGGACCATTGAAGTTCTCAGAAAAGTTCCAGCTCTTCACGCCCTTCTCACTGGGATTTGAGTTCAGGCCAGGCCGGGAGTATTTCTACATCTGTGAGTATGGAGAGGTTTACCGTTGATGCACAGCAGGTATAAGAAACACAGCTATTTTTTCACCTATACTCTGTGAAAATACAGAGCGGCAAATGGTATATAATACAAATGCCTTATAGTGAACACAGCTTAAACTATCCCCAGATACATTAGCTAGGAATCTAGCTAGTGAAAATGACATTAAATCATAGCTTCTTTTCTCTCATGAAATAGCATGGCAGCCTGTTCACTGAACTACAGCTGACTTTTAAAGCAAAATGCACCATTACATTTATTTCTACATTCTGAGTTGGGGCAAGAAGGGGAGGACAGAAATTGCCCCCAAATATGAAGAAAAATAATGAATCCTTTGTATGTGGAATACCTCAATTTCCTTACTTGCTTTGATGAAATACTCTTGTCTCTGTTGTATTTATCACCCAAGGAAAGTGAGGTCTGTGTAGTTCTTAAGTGATATTATGCTGCTGGTGTCAGTAGCCCAATGGTATTTAAAACTGTAATTTCTCAGGCCAAGTAATCCTAGTATTTAGCGAAGTGGCTTCTTTCTTCTACCTTCCTTTCCCCTACATCTTTTTCATGGGTGAGCTGTTTCTGTCAGCATGGCAATAGGATTGCTCTGGGAGCAGGAGGCAAGCAGGTGAGGAGATCTGCATCAGGACTGCTCCAGGCACAAGATGCAGGAGACATCACATGGGTCTAAGGAAGTAAAAACACCAGTAGGTTAAAACCCAGTGGGTTAGGCAAACTGATTCCCTGACTCCACTGTGCAAGTCATATCATTTCAACTATCTCATGTCTTTAATACTCCCAACAAAGATCTTACTTAATCAACTCATTTTTGCACCTGTAGCTTTCACTCCTACCAGGTTTTTACTGCTCCAGCTTATTTTTATACTGTTTTTAGTTTTTGACAACTGAGTTGAAAGCTTTACATAGACTGCAGATCCCAATAAATATTGCTTTCATATGTGTAGCTGGCCTTTCTACTGTGGAACACTCATTCCACCTCATTTCACCAGAGAAACTGAGTATGTATGATCCCTGTTTTCAGCCTCATTTCTTCAACATTGAGATTTTTGTTTTCCCTTCCATAATCTACAGGGAAATAACAGTCTTAGTGGACAGTTTCCTATTAATTTCTTTTTCTTCCATCAAGTAAAAACCTCTAGTGAGTAGTGCCTTTTCATCAGAAAAACTGTGCCTTGTTCTTGTACTGAAGCACAATAATAAAAATAATACTTAAAATAATATTTAAAATAATGTAATTTAAAACTGGGGTTTGAGATGAAAAATAGTATAAAGGTATCAGTTAAGTAGATAATGTTCAGGAATAAACAAATCTGGATTGTGAAGGCCCAGTCCTATTTGTGTCACTTCAGCGAGAGTTCTGTGTTTTTCAAAATTCTGTTATCAGGCTCCCTTGGAATTGTGCAATTTTTTTTGGTGGATTTTTGTTTTGTTTTGTTAGTTTTTTTAAAATTCAGTTCCAGAGCATCATCAGTCAAGTAAGCAGGAGCAGTTAAGCTAAGGAATGCAGTCTGTCATCACAAGGTGCAATAAAGTGTAGCACTGGAATGGTGTCATTAGCTGCAAGCCTGAAAAAGGCCCTAGTTTTCTAAATTTTTCAAAAATAAAAAACTAAATGTTTAATAAAGATGAAAACCAAAGATGAAAGCAAAGAAAAAAAAAAAAAAATGGAAAAAAAAAGGAAATCTCAGCTTGGGCTGTCTAATAGTGTCAATGTCAGAACATACAAAGTCCATCCAACTCTCAAGCAAGATGCTATAACTTAAACATACCCAGGTTGCTTATGCCTGGTTTTCCTCATTTGTGCTCAAATTCAGTAAGTCACTAAGAATCATATAACTTTCATTAAAAATCTATAAGCCCCCTGTCAAGGGCTCCCTCCAAAGTAATTGTTCTGAAGAGCTTTAAAATTTGAAGAGCTTTATGATATTCAACTGCATTCATATGGATTTTTTTTTTAATGAAAGGTAAAATAGCACAAAAATAGCAATGAGATGAAAAATATTAGTTTAAGATAAGCTTAGCTGAAATTGAATTTTTAGTTGTGTTTTAGCGACACAAAAGTATTTTTCCTTCTTTTCTGTAGCTAAAGTATTTTTTTTCCTTCACCCTTTGCTTTGCTGAGGGAATTAACAAGGGTATTCACATTGCAGAAGTTTCAGAGAAGCACTGTACAATAAGTTAACTATAATATGCCCACCTTCTCAGGGCATAGTTGTCCATCCTGTAATGTTTTTCTCTTACTCTGTGCTGAAGAAAGAAGATGGTGAAATGTTGTTGCTTATTTCCTCATCAAAATTGTAAGCAGGTGCTAGTTCAGGCTCTGGAGACCACTTTGTTACCTTTCTGCATCTGCATGTTAAAGAAATTAGTGCTTTGCCATGAAAGGTGTCCTTTGCGTAGTAGATCTGAAACCTTTGCCCTTTCTGAAGGAGAGAGAGAAAACTGATTATATAGGATCAGTCTGGCATGTTCTGTTAAAGGGTTACAAAATATGCCGTGTAGTCTAGACCTCTGAAAAGACAGAAATATGACAGAAATAATAAAGCTGGTTAGCTTTATTACTGTCTGGTGTTCTGTCAAAAATATTCACAGTTTACCTTTTAAGGATATGGTTTGCTTCTCTTGCTTCCATTATTTTCAGAAAAGGAAATAATTTGTGAACAATCACTGTCTTTTTGTCTGAACTGTTCATTTGGAAAATACCACCATTCTTTGTTATGCCATTGCCTTCACATATTGCTCAGATGAACTTGGATCTCTGTTCTTTGCATGTTCATTCTAGGATAATGCAAGGAAAAAATCTTACCCATCTGATATCAAATTTACATTGAGCAAGTGAATTCAACATTACAGTCATGCAATCAAAAGTACTGATTGTTTGCTTTTGAAAGAAGAAAAGGTTATTAAATATTTACAGAGAAATTAACTTTTATTTAGTTAGGGTGTGCTCATTGTGGGGCTGGGGAAAGTAAATAATAGATCATGACCTGAAGTCTCAATTTTTACTTAGTTTTTATCAGGTGCTCGTCTCAGGTTCGTGTACGCCAGCCTTAGAACAAACAAAATAGTATTACTACTGAAACAGAAGCAAATGAAATATGGAGAAAGCAGAAACAAAATAGTGTCATGACATTGATTTTAATATCCTTTGGAAGTTTCAGTATTCAGGTTAAGGTGAGGTACTGTGCAAGGTGAGATGAACTCAAAAGCTAGGAAGGATAAAAATCCTAACATGTAGAATGTTACATAATTGTATGTTCAAAAATGATAATATAATTTTCATTATTTTAACTTAATTGCAGATAAGTTGGTAATGTGTTAAGTAAAAGTATAAGTGACAATTTGGCAAGTATACATCAGGGCTGTTGAAATAAAAAGGAAGGTGTCTCTAGAGGCAGGCTGGTACAGATTTCTGCAGAATCTTGACCTAAGTTTCCAAACTAAGCTGTTTCGTTGATTTCAGCTAGAGCTTAAAAGTGTTCTCTTCTTGAAAGCACCAGTGTAGTATCAAAAGCTTTACTAATATGAGGGTGTGGTACATGATCTTCTCTGTGTCATCAGTCCAGTTATTACAGAGAAGAATTCAATAATTTGTACTTATCTATGGGTAAAATATCTTTGGTATTTTTACCATATCCTCAAAGATTTTATGAATATTGTTTATTTTGTAATTGGATCATTGTGAATCTTTTCATTTATATACACCTATACCTTTTTCCTAGAATGACAAGGTAGGTTTGCTCTTATTCTCAGTTCACTAGCGTCTTTTCTGTTCTCCACAAGATTCTGACAATTTTTGCTAACAGTAAGCAGGCTTTACTTTTTATATATCTAGACATAACTTGTGGTTTTTTCCCTCTATTCTTCTTGAGAAAGGAGCCCCTTTCATCTTTTAAAAATCCTTATGGAAAGTTAAAAACTTGTGATTTATTTGTATAATTTTTTTTGCTGCTGTTTCTTTCTAGTTATATCTCTTGCATGTGTCTTTCTTAGTTTATTTCAAAATGCTTATGCTGTTTTTTGTCTCACCTTTAATGTGTCACTATCACTGTGCCTTTGTTAGCATTTATTTGTGTGAAGCTTCTGATTGTCATTTGAGAAAGCTTTGGTGAAATTGTATTGCTTGTCATCACACCAGGATAGTGTCCTGTTACTATTTTAATTTAATAATAGTTAAAAATAATATTTTTAAATAGTTCATGTGTTAATGGCTAAATTAAGAAGCAGTTTGTAAAATTGTTATTTCAGTTTGTGCATATGCTTCTTAATAACATATAACCATCCCATACTCCTTTTTCTCATAGAATATATTCTCAAGAGACCTGCTGTTACATGTTCCCCTTATATTTTTTCTGTTTGGGTTTATTCTGCATTATCCTTTTTTCTCTGACTTAATTCCTTCTTTTCCTGAAGTTTCTGATTCTGAGGGTTTTTATTCAAATGATATTCCGTCCTGACAGTCTTAGCTGCTCCTTCTATGGGAAAGCGTGTGATTTGCACTATTTCTAATGCAAAAATTGTGTCTTCTGTTAGCTGGTTCCACCTCTGTTTCTGGGTCCTCACCCTGTTCCAAAGACTGTGAAACAGTTTTGAATCCTGGAATCATTTTTCTCTAATAGCTGCCAGATCGTTGGACAATCATTCTGCAGACATCTGGAGGCTTCTCTTATTATAAGGATTTTAAGAAAAGAACAGTAGTAGAAAAAAGTGTTTGAATACCTACATCTCCTACTTCTGTCTATTAATTAGGTTGTTAGCTTGTTGTATTAATAAGGTCTCTATCTGAGCTCTTGTTTAGCCAGTAGCAGTTCTTGATGACAGTTAAGCTAAACTTGCTCACTTGTTTTGTGAGTGGTTAAGAGTTAAGTGTTTGTTTGTGCTATTAGTTTTCTTTAGTCTCTGCTACAATTCTCTATCAATTTTTCTTTATCCTATGCAATTCCACATTTTGTGATCAGGTTGATTTATGA